TACAGCTCAGCGTTCCAAAGATTCCAGTTCTGCCCTGCGTTTTCAGGACTGGGGGTGCTCAGCCTTGGAGGCAGCTGGAGCACGCCCCTCCCTCCTCCAAGGTCACTATTCCCCAGTCAGATCCTGTGTTGCTTTTTCCTCCAGCACACGCCTCTGCCTCGCGGGCACCTCCCTCGCAATCAGGCGCTTGCCCAGCTCAGCCAGTTTCCAGCTTCCAGCCTTGGCCTATGTGTTCTTCCCCTCCGCAGATGCCCTTCCCTCTGCCCTCAGCCTTGCAGAAGCCTGCCTGGCCTTCAGGGGCCCCCTCCTCCAGGCAGCCCTCCTGGCTGCTCTGAGTCCTGGAAACTCCAGTCCCAGCCATGGTGCACGTCACTCTAGAGAATCCCATCTGCCCATCATGACCTTGAGGCCATGCGGGAAGAGATCGTTCTGAACACCTCTCTTTTTGGATACCCCTAACCCAGGACTGGCACACAGCAGGCTAAGCGACTGAGTGAGACATTTACGTGCTTAACCTGCACAGAAACTGAGGGCTTCCCTGCCGGCTCAGGAATCCAGTGCTGAAGCTACAAAGGCTTCTGGGCTTTCATGTAAACTACGGGACTATTGTGGGAGCTCTGTTTCTAAGTTTAAGACAAAGATAATTGCAGTGCTGGGGACTGAACTGTGTCCCCAAGGGGCTGTATTTGAAGAGAGGGTTGTTAGGAGGTAATTTAGGTAAAATGAGGTCACAAGGGTGGGGCCCTAATCCAACAGAACTAGTGTCTTCATAAGAAAAGGAAGAGGTTGGGGGTGTGGCTCAGGTCTGTCATCCCAGCACTGTGAGAAGCTGAGGTGGAGGATTGCTTGAGGGCCAGTTTGAGACCAGCCTGGGCAAAAGACCAATGCTCTATGTCTACAAAATACATAAAATTAGGCAGGCGTGGTGGCACACATCTGTTGTCTCAGCTACCCGGGAAGCTGGGGCGGGAAGATTGCTTGAGCCCAGGAGTTGGAGGCTGCAGTGAGCAATGACCACGCCACACACGCCAGGCTGGGTGACAGTGAGACCCTGTCAAAAAATAAGAAGCAAGAGGAGGAGGACAGACTAGAGCCCTCTCCTCTCGCCACATGGGCCACAAGAAGATGGCTGTCTGCACACCAGGAAGAGCACCCTCACCAGACACAGAATCTGCCAGCACCTGGGTCTCAGTTTCGTGCCTCCAATGAAACATGTCCACTGCTGAGGGCGCCCAGTTCAGTCCATGGTGTTTTGTTGTGGTGACCTGGGTCATGACCCAGGGAGTCACTCAGCCTCTTTGGAGACATCCTGGACCTGCTCCATCCTCATAACACGCGTGCAGCCTCCTCAGGCAGGACCCTGAGAGGGTGAGCAGCAGTCACAGGCGCTTTCACTGCCGGCTGGTGATGGGCTGGGCATCACCACTCACTCGTCCATCAAGATGAGAGAAGCTTGATGATGCCATTTTACAGACGACTCCATTTTACAGATGGCAAAACAGAGGCCCAGAGATGTGAAGTGATTTGACCATGACTGCTCCACCAGGGCCACGCGGGGACCTCAACCCAAGTCTGTCGGGCTCAGCAGCTCAGGGCACAGCCACCTCACAATCTTGGGGCCAGGGAGGAGGGAAGCTGCCCTGCCAGACCCTTGTGGGAACATGGAGTCACTTCTCAAAGTATGGATGAGCCCCTCCCATCCGGTCATGAGCCCTCAGCATCGTGTTGTGTCTGTGTGGGTACAGAACTCACCAGCCAGTTCAGTAGCACCTGCTGCCCCCTTGTGCTCAGGTAGACCAAGTGGCCTTTCACCCTGGCTGGCCCCTACAGTCCAGGGCTCTTTCCTTCCTATAACCCTTATTCACCCCCTCTAACTCCTCCCCATCTGCTCAGAATACGCCAAAGAGGCTGGCGCTGTGTCTCAGCAAATGGCCTCAGTCCCTTCGTGGCCTTGTCCCGACCCTATCATCCCCCAGGGACGGCCATCACCACCTGACTTGTCTCCAGCTCGTCTCCCAGGGATGGCCATCACTACCTGACTTTCCAGCTTGTCCCCCAGGGACGGCCATCACCACCTGACTTGTCTCCAGCACCAGGGTCATCTCTTAAAATCAGGTCCCATCACACCCCAGCTTAAAACTCTCCACTGACATCCCATTAAACTCCCGGTGAAATCCCAACTCCTGGCCTTGCTGGCAAACTGTGTGTGATGGGCCAACCCGCCGCTCACTCTGTCCCAGACGCCAGCATCTGTCCCTTGAACATGCCCCAAGGTCAGGGAGGACGCCGAAGCCTCTCCCTAAGTGCTCCATGTGGGCGTGAGGTCAGAGAGGGCACCGAAGCCTCTCCCATGCACTCCGCATTAATTCTCGGTGTCCAACTGCTACTTCGTTTGTATTCATTTGTCTTCTCTGTTCCTCAGTGTACTGAGTGCTGCCTCATGAATGCTATAACATGAAGCAGAGCACGACACAGAGCACCTAGGGAGAGGCTCTGGGGACCCTCTCTGAGCTCCATTTGTCTTCTCTATTACCCCACCCCTGGAAAGTCATCTCCGTGAGAGTGAGGACTCTGTCCGTCTTGTTCACGGCATCGCCATGAACCCAGAACAGGGCCTTCACACAGTGGGCTATTAATCAAAGAATGAATGCACATAATCTCCTCCAAGAAGGAAGTGTGAACTCTTCAACCCCCCAAATGCCCACCATCCAGCTGTGTTTCCTAACACCCTCTCCTCCCGCCTCCAACCTGGAACACGACCCTCAGAAGCTCAGAGCTCCCCAGCCTCACCACCCACACCAGGACTGAGTCCTCAGCCTGCTGAACGATAAGAACCATTTCAACGGAAATGCCTGGAGCAGCCCAGAGCTTCAGAGTGGCCTGGGGACCCACTGCCAGCTGAGGTCCTCCCCGGGACGGCCATTGTTGCCTAAGACGTGGCCCTAGGGAGCAGTTGTGTTAGCTGCTGCACAGCCAGGCCAGCAGCTGCCTCTGTGGCCCAGGCCCTGGACTGTCCCAGGGGAAGCAGGCCGGCTCTGCACCTCTTTATGATCCCCTATATCTGGAATATTCACAGCAGCTGTGAGGTTGAGAGGCAGAGGAGGAAACAGGCTGCCAGGTCCCGTTCTCCCAGCAGGAGTCATAAAACATAACCTCACCACCAAAGCCCTGGAAGCTGGACCTTCCCAAGTCCCGGCGCCCCCACCTACATTGACCCATAGTCCCAGGCCTTTGCAGGGCTGGAGGAGGAGCCAGCACAGCCCGACAGCAGCCTCCACCTCCCCTCCAGTATTCTTGGACCAATTAATCCACATTCCTCAGCCCAGTTTACCACATATGACAGAGCAGGAAAACAAATGACCGCAGCTGAAATCCTGCCTTTCCCATTTGTTAATTGGGCACATTAACCTCACTGTACCTTTGATTTTCTCATCGACCTTTTGAATGCCACTGAAAATGCCCTTACCAAGTTGCCAATGGCCGCCATCTTCCACGTCCATGTTTATTTATCCTGACTTCTCCATCTCTCCTGGTCCTCTCAGCACTTCCCAGCCCCCAGCCCCCGTTATTTCTTCCCAGAGCTTACTGTGTCCTGAAACCGTCTTGTTCACTTGATCGTTACTTGTTTTTAAGTTCCCTTGCCCACTATTATCTCAAGAAATTTCCTCCTCTGTCTTCTTCAGTATAATAACTCCAGTCTTAAAACCATGACCAGCAGCCAGGCAGTGGCTCACGCCTGTAATCCTAGCACTTTGGAAGGCTGAGGCCAGTGGATCAGCTGAGGTTAGGAGTTGAAGACCATCCTGGTCAACATGGCGAAACCCCTTCTCTACTAAAATACAAAAATTAGCTGCGTGTGGTGGTGCATGCCTGTAATCCCAGCTACTCAGGAGGCTGAGGCAGGAGAATCACTTGAACCCAGGAGGTGGAGGTTGCAGTGGGCTGAGATCACATGCCATTTGCACTCCAGCCTGGGCGACAGAGTGAGACTCTGTCTTAAAAAACAACAACAAAAACCATGACTAGCACATGGAAGTTACTTGAGGATGAGTTCCAGCAAAACTAAGATGAAAATAAAAAAGAGAACAGTGTGTCTAACCGAGGAGGGTAGCAAAGGGGAGTCCCATTATAACAGCTGTGCAGTTACCAGCCTAGAAGGGAGCAGGAGGGAGAATCTAGAAGGGTTTATTCCAGGAAAAAAAAAAAAAAAGAGGCTCCATATGATAGTAAACTTGAGATGCTGACTAATCGTGAGGATTGGAAGGTGCATTATTCTCTCAGCAATAAGAAAAAGAAAGGCAAGTTGAAACTCCAGAAGAAACTAAAAGTCATACTTAAAAAGTCCCAGAATCATTATAAAACAATTTAACATGTGGCACAGTTTAGTATAAGGAGAAAATCGATTTGCTCTCCTGCAAAGATCATTCTCCTTTGAGTAACCAGGGATGAAGAGCACAGCAGACCAACAGAATACACAGTCCCTCCCAGCACACAACCTGGCCTTGAGGAAAACAGGATTTATCCAATAACAACTAAAAACATGTTTTTCTTGTTGCCTTAATATATTCTAAAGACGATACCATTTGAGTGCCTATATGCCAGGCAAGGTTGTAAGAGCTTCGCCTTTAATGATATGTAACCCTCAGAGCACAGTGAGGTGCATGGTATCATGACCATATTTTACAGATGAGGAACCTCAGGTCTGAGATAGTCATTAGGTTTTCTGAGGTCACAGAAGAAGAGCTAGATTCACACCCTGACTTCTAACAGCAGCGCTGGGTCTTGAAGCTCGGTGTGAATCCAGTGGGAGAGCCAGAAGATACACCCAAGCTATGCGACCCAGAGCCAGCCCTAGACATCAGGACGTTTGGTTTTCCTTCATCCTTGCCAAGAGGCTGAGGGTATGACAACCCAGCACACAAGCCACAGAGCAGCAGGGCTTGTCCAGAATCGCAGCTGGGAAGGCGGAAGGACAGGACGGAGCAGGAGCAGGGTCTTACCTTCCTGCAGTCTTTGCAGAACACCGAGGAGCTGCCCAGGAAGCCCAGCACCTCCCCGCAGAGCAGACACTGGGACAGGCCGTTCCCCATCACGTTCCCCCGCAGGGTCTCCAGCCGCTCCACCAGTCGCCTGCGGCCAGGACACAGAGTCAGAGGAAATGCGCCTCCCACTCCAGCCCAACCACTGCCTGGCACAGCTGCCACCGAGGCCCAGAGCTGAACCATGCCATGCAGCTGTTCCCTCACGAGGGTGTCTTTCTTCGCCCTGCCCTTCCCCAGGCTAACTGTGAATCTTTCATTCACTTGCCAACTATTCACCTAGCACCTAAGATCCATCAGATGCTGGGGAAATGGCAGCAAACCAGCCAGACAAACAAGGTCCCTGTTCTCCTGGAATGTACCTTCAGTAAGGAAGAAAATTCATGAGCAAGTCAAAAAGAAGACTGATTTCAGAGAGAGAGCAGCGCTGTGAAATGGAAATAGTGGGGCAGGGAGGGAGAGGGAGTTGGAGGGGAGGGAAGGAGAGGGAGATGGAGGGGAGGGAGGGCAGGAGATGGATGGGGAGGGAGGGTGAGGGAGATGGAGGGGAGGGAGGGAGAGGGAGGGAGATGGAGGGGAGGGAGGGAGAGGGAGGGAGATGGAGGGGAGGGAGGAAGAGGGAGGGAGATAGAGGGGGAGGGGAGGGAGATGGAGGGGAGGGAGGGATAGGGAGATGGAGGGGAGGGAGGGAGAGGGAGACAGGGGAGGGAGGGAGAGGGAGACAGGGGAGGGAGGGAGAGGGAGACAGGGGAGGGAGGGAGAGGGAGATGGAGGGGGAGGGAGGGAGAGGGAGAAGAAGGGTGGAAGAGAAGGGAGATGGAGGGGAGGGAGGGAGATGGAGATTGAAGGGCAGGGAAATGCCCCATAGGGACCAGTGAATGCTCTGGGAGAACTCGTGGACTCACAGCTGAAGAATGAGCCACTCCAAGAGGCCTGTTTCTCCCATGGCAAAGATAAGAAGGCTGGGCGGGGTGGCTCTTGCCTGTTATCCCAGCTCTTTGTGAGTTGAGGCAGGTGGATTGTGTGAGCCCAGGAGTTAGAGACCAGCCCTGGTAACATAGTGAGAACCCGTGTCTTACAAAAAAAAAAAAAGAGCTGTATGTGGTCACATCATAGTCCTGGCTACTTGAGGCTGAGGTAAGGGGATGGCTGGAGCCCAGGAAGCTGAGGCTGCCAAGATCTGTGATCGTCACTGCTCTCCGGCCTAGACGACAGAGTTAGACCTGTCTCAAAAGTAAAAAAAGAAAGATACAAGCCATGCAGGAGACCAGAATGAAATCGATTCCAATCAAGGCCCTGCATCTGTATTCCCTACTCCTGCTTTTCTGTGTTTCCAGAGTTTCTAGGAAACAGGCATTGCTTTGTCACTAAACACAGGTCACAGTGAAAGTGCTGGAAGAGGAGCTGTGGTTGGGGCTGGACGCTGTAGGCTGGAGAAGTGCACGCAGATGGCCAGGAGGGGCGACCCTGGCTCAGCCTGCAGCTGAACCTCCCTCCCTCCCTTGGCTGACCCTGGCACAGCTGCAGGTGTGCAGAGCTCAACAGCTCTGGGGCACTTTGCCACGTGAGCATTCCTGCCCACACCCAGGCGCACATCCAGCCTCTGGCCTCATCCGACAGGGGTATCCTGAGGCTCCGGGGCTGTGCAGGAAGAGCACCCTTCAGGACAGGCTGGAGTCCGTGACATTCAGACTCACTCCCAGAGATGAAAAGCAGCAGCAGGAGCCAGAGGGCCAGCCTCCCAGTCCCCGGGATTGGCACCAGAGCCCCTGCTGCCCTCCGGCTGAGCTGGCTCCCATGGCTCACCCGATTCTCTGTTGCTCCAGGACGTCCAGCCGCTCGGCCCTCTGGATGACCTGCAGGATGGCCTCCACCTCTGCGGGGCTGAGGTGCTGGTCCCTCCTCTGCTTCTCCGTCTGGTAGGTGTGCACAGACCAGCCCGTGTGCAGCCTGGAGAGGGAACAGCACAGATGACGCTGAGGCTGAGGCAGCGCAAACCCCAGCAGCCCCTGCCACATCCATCAGGCCCAAGACAGCCAGTGGGCAGCCCCCTACATCCACCAGGCCCGACAGCAGCCAGAGGGCAGCCACCCCAAATCCACCAGGCCCGAGACAGCCAGCAGGCAGCCCCCCCATATCCACCAGGCCTGACAGTAGCCAGCTGACAGCCCCCTCACATCCACCAGGCCTGACAGCAGCCAGAGGGCAGCCCCCCCACATCCACCAGGCCCGAGACAGCCAGCAGGTAGCCCCCTATATCCACCAGGCCCAACAGCAGCCAGAGGGCAGCCCCCCCACATCCACCAGGCCCGAGACAGCCAGCAGGCAGCCCCCCATATCCACCAGGCCTGACAGTAGCCAGCCAGCAGCCCCTCACATCCACCAGGCCCAATAGTAGCAAGTGGGCAGCACCCCCATCCACCAGGCCTGAGACAGCCAGAGGGCAGCCCCCTCACATCCACCAGATCTGAGAGCAGCCAGCAGACAGCCCCCTACATCCACCAGGCCTGTGACAGCAGCCAGCGGGCAGCCCCCTACATCCACCAGGCCTGTGACAGCAGCCAGCGGGCAGCCCCCTACATCCACCAGGCCCGACAGCAGCCCCCACACATCCACCAGGCCTGAGAGCAGCCAGCAGGCAGCCCCGCACATCCACCAGACCCGAGAGCAGCCAGCAGGCAGCACCCCCACATCCACCAAGCCTGAGAGCAGCTGGCAGGCAGCCCCCACACATCCACCAGGCCCGAGAGCAGCTAGCAGGCAGCCCCCCACCCACATCTACCAGGCCCGACAGCAGCCAGCAGGCAGCACTCCCACATCCACTAGGCCTGACAGCAGCCAGCCAGCAGCCCCTCACATCCACCAGGCCCAATAGTAGCAAGTGGGCAGCACCCCCATCCACCAGGCCTGAGACAGCCAGAGGGCAGCCCCCTCACATCCACCAGATCTGAGAGCAGCCAGCAGACAGCCCCCTACATCCACCAGGCCGCAGCCCCCTCACATCCACCAGATCTGAGAGCAGCCAGCAGACAGCCCCCTACATCCACCAGTCCTGTGACAGCAGCCAGCGGGCAGCCCCCTCACATCCACCAGGCCCGACAGCAGCCAGCGAGCAGCACCCCAACATCCACCAGGCCCGACAGCAGCCAGCGAGCAGCACCCCAACATCCACCAGGCCTGAGAGCAGCCAGCGGACAGCCCCCCTACATTCACCAGGCCCAACAGCAGCCAGCGGGCAGCCCCCTCCCCACATCCACCAGGCCCGACAGCAGCAGCGGGCAGCACCTCCCATCCACCAGGCCCAACAGTAGCCAGTGGGCAGCCCCTCCACATCCACCAGGCCTGACAGCAACCAGCAGGCAGCCCCCCACATCCACCAGGCCTGAGAGCAGACAGTGGGCAGTCCCCCACATCCACCAGGCCTGAGAGCGGCCAGCAGGCAGCCCCCCCACATCCACCAGGCCTAACAGCAGCCAGCAGGCAGCTCTCCCACATCCACCAGGCCTGACAGCAGCCAGCAGGCAGTGCAGGTGCCGTGTGCTGGGCTGAGGCATGCGGGCCAGAGAGGAGCTCCAAGCGCCGGCCCTGCCATCTGCCCACTCCTCGGCCTTGGCAAAGACGGCAGCAACTTAGCCGGGGAGGCTGAAGCCCAGAACATGACCCTCACACATACAGAGAAGGCCAACGTCATGGCACGTGAGGCATCAAGGGAGGAGCATGAAAGATGGTCAGGAGAAAAGGTGAGCCCTGAGGCCATGAGGGAGGAAGATAGAGCTTCCCAGGGGACAGGAAAGCAGTGTGATCAGGACAGACACACACCTGCCAATAGATGTTGTGAGAACTGGCAGGTTCAGGGCAGGAGGGGAAAGCAAGTTTCACAAGAGGCGGCGTGGTGAGGGCAGTGGTGAGGCGTGGTGAGGGCCGTGGTGAGGCGTAGTGAGGTGTGGTGAGGGCAGGTAACCTCGAGGCATGGGGCTGGGAGGAGCTGGGAGGCTTAGCTGTCTCTGCTCCACTGCTCTCCAGGAGTGACCCCTCCTGAGATCGTAACTGCGGGGAACTGTCCTGTTTTTCTGGAAAGGGAGAGAATGGCAGCAGATCAAGCCCCAAACCCCCTGCCCTGGGTGGGTCCCAGCTTCCCTGAAACGGTTTGTACCTGTGACACTGCTGTAAGTAGGGAATGAACAAGATGGAAAGTCACTGAACCTGAAGAGCTACACTATGGTGGGGAGGCAGCTGCCAAGTCAATGACAAACACTCATTTAATGAACAGGTCTCAGTGCATTAGCAGGTGCCCGCTGGGATGCCTGGCCTCCTGGTACCAGAGACAGGCCGCTCGGTGGGATGTGCAGGCGACGTCAGGAAGCGGATACATGAGACAATGGCCCATAGGGAGGGGATGGGGCTCTTGCAAGGCTTCCCTTCTTCAGGGATGCGTCAGAAGCCGAAGTCCTGGAAGCAGGACCTAGGGCAGGCAGCTGAGGGAGGCGGAGACTTTCCTGGGAACCCTGACACAAGACCGGCCCTGGGGTCTCATGTCCTGCCGGGTCCCGGCTATTGCAGCTATGGATTCTCAGTGGCCCACACGGTAGGAGTTTGGAGAGTGAATAAGCATCTCCCTGCTCTGTAAGGAGGGGCTGGGGACTGATGACTGTGAAGATGCAGGCTTTGGAGTCCGCTGCTCCCATCCCTGCCCAGATGGGACACCTAAGATGAGGTTCTCACCCTTGGTTTTCTGATCTCTTTAAGGGATGCCATGAGGATTACATGAGGAGGGTAGACAAGGTGCTTTCACTCAAATGCCCAATTGTCTACAAATGGCAGTTAATGGTGGTAACTACAATTATCATGGGTGGGGCGTCAGGCATGGCTTCGCCAAAGAGACAGCATGTGTGGGAAGGAGGCAGGTTCAGGCAGAGGAGATCACACACAAAGGCAGGGGTGTTGGGGGTAGGGTGCAGTGCCTTAGGGTCCATACTTCTACACTGCCAGTTTTTCCAAAAAAAAAAAAAAATACATTGCCCTAGACTGACACTATTGAAGCCGTCTTCAAGGGGCTGGGGAAGGCAAATGATGGGCAACAGGGCAGGGCTGGAAGGGAGGCAAGGCCTGCCTCTGCCTGGACCACCTGCCTTGCTCCTATGAGCTGGACACATTCAGGGTACAGGCCCCAAAAAGAAACATCCCCTCCCCCACCTCACCTATTGCTTTGCTCCATCTGAGCATCTCAGAAGCTCAAGGCATCAGTGGTGGGCCAGGACACAGTCATGTGGCCCCCAGGCCAGGGGAAAGGAGGTGGAAGCCAGGGCCCCCAAGTTCAGCGAATCCCCACTCCCTCCACCCTCCAACTAACAGACAGAAAGGAAGGGTCCCAGGAACACACAGAAGGGCGGGCACAGGCATCAGCTCCATCCCACCTGTCCCGACAGGCACAGGCATCAGCTCCACCATCACCACCTGTCCTGACGGGCAAAGGCATCAGCTCCATCACCACCTGCCCTGATGGGCACAGGAATCAGCTCCATCCCACCTGTCCTGATGGGCACAGGCATCAGCTCCACCATCACCACCTGTCCTGATGGGCACAGGCACCAGCTCCATCACCACCTGCCCTGAAGGGCACAGAAATCAGCTCCACCCCACCTGTCCTGACGGGCACAGGCATCAGCTCCACCATCACCACCTGTCCTGACGGGCACAGGCATCAGCTCCACCCCAGGTGTCCTGATGGGCACAGGCATCAGCTCCACCCCAGCTGTCCTGACGGGCACAGGCGTCAGCTCCACCCCACCTGTCCTGACGGGCACAGACGTCAGCTCCATCACCACCACCTGTCCTGACGAGCACAGGCGTCAGCTCCACACCACCTGTCCTGACGGGCACAGGCATCAGCTCCACCCCACCTGTCCTGACGGGCACAGGCATCAGCTCCACACCACCTGTCCTGACGGGCACAGGCATCAGCTCCATCACCACCTGCCCTGATGGGCACAGGAATCAGCTCCATCCCACCTGTCCTGATGGGCACAGGCATCAGCTCCACCATCACCACCTGTCCTGATGGGCACAGGCACCAGCTCCATCACCACCTGCCCTGAAGGGCACAGAAATCAGCTCCACCCCACCTGTCCTGACGGGCACAGACGTCAGCTCCATCACCACCACCTGTCCTGACGGGCACAGGCATCAGCTCCACCCCACCTGTCCTGACGGGCACAGGCATCAGCTCCACACCACCTGTCCTGACGGGCACAGGCATCAGCTCCATCACCACCTGCCCTGATGGGCACAGAAATCAGCTCCACCCCACCTGTCCTGACGGGCACAGGCATCAGCTCCACCATCACCACCTGTCCTGACGGGCACAGGCATCAGCTCCACCATCACCACCTGTCCTGACGGGCACAGGCATCAGCTCCACCATCACCACCTGTCCTGACGGGCACAGGCATCAGCTCCACCCCACCTGTCCTGACGGGCACAGGCATCAGCTCCACCCCACCTGTCCTGACAGGCACAGGCATCAGCTCCACCCCACCTGTCCTGACGGGCACAGGCATCAGCTCCACCCCACCTGTCCTGACGGGCACAGGCATCAGCTCTACCCCACCTGTCCTGACGGGCATAGGCATCAGCTCCACCCCACCTGTACTGAGGGGTGCAGGTCCCATGAGCTCATTCTAGCACTGTGCTAGCACAGGTCACCAGATATCTTCCATTGAACCCTCACAGTCACTCCACAAGTCAGACCCAGTCCCTCAGTCACCCCACGAGGCAGGCCCGGACCCTCAGTCAACTCATGAGGCAAGCCCAGATCCTCAGTCTCCCCACGAGGCAGGCCCAGACCCTCAGTCACCCCACAAGGCAGACCCAGACCCTTAGTCTCCCCACAAAGCCGATCCAGACCCACAGTCACCCCATGAGTCCGACCTAGACCCACAGTTACCCCACAAGGTAGACCCAGATCCTTAGTCACCCCACAAGGCAGGCCTGGATCCTCATAGTCACCCCACGAGGCAGGCCCCAACCCTCCACTGAGCACGATGCCCCCACCCCAGCTGCAATGCCCCCTTCACACAGCCCAAGGAGGTGACCTGAGGCCGCCTGACATTGATGAGCTGCAGCCTCCAAGAAGAACTTGCAGTCCCTACACACCCAGAAGCCCCACCTGCCATTCCCCGACACATTCCCCATATGGAGCCCTCATCTCCCTGACTACCTCTCTATCTTGCTTTCATACTGTCCACCCTTTACTCTGCACTGAAAATGCACTGACCTCCTGCCAGGGCCTCCACACACCCTACCCTTCTGCCTCAGGGCCTTTGCACATGCTGTTTCTGCCACCTCAGGACCTCTGCACATGCTGTTCCCTCTACCTTGGGGCCCTTGCACGTGCTGCTCCTTCTACCTTGGGGCCCTTGCACGTGCTGTTTCTTCTGCCTCGGGGCCCTTGCACGTGCCACTCCTTCTGCCTGGAAGTGCTTCCCTCCCACTCCCATCTAACATTCACCCATCTTCTGGGTCTCAGTGTAGGCAGCACAGTCTCAGGGAAGCCCCTCCTGATCCCCAGACTAGGTTAGCACCTTCACTCTACATCCCCACTGCCTGTTATCATCGTCAAAGCCACCTACCTGGGTAACTACTGAAATAACACTCACCTCTGCCCACCTATGCTTTAAAACTAGGGGACTGTGTTGGTCCTTTTCACTTCTGTGCAGTCAATGCCTGGTACGGAGTGGCGGGTTTGAAAATGTCTGATGGCAGCTGGAGGACTGAGGGGAGCCCCGAGCCACAGCCCAGACTTCCACAAGGGCCCCACAGGGCACAGCTCCCAGCTCTGCAGCCAGAGATTCATACACTGCTCATGTCCAGAGACTGCCAGGCATTCTGAGGCAGTGCACTCTCCCCTCTAAAGGTGCTACAACAGCTTCTGGCTGCTGCTGAGCAAGACAAGGTCAGTGAGAGCTTAAGAAAACCCTGGAGGGGTCAGGACCCTATTGGGCCCTGGATGAGAACATGGGTAGTGGAGCTCTCCTTAGAAGCCCCAACCCGGCCCGGGGGGACGCTTCAGCTGCCTGGCATCAGAGCACAGAGACGGAGAGGGGCCAACCTCATCCCCTGCAGGGCTGCACGAAGGAGCTGAGCCCTCCTGGCAAAGGGGACAAATTAACTGTGGTGCAAAGCCTCCTGCAAATCACGCATCACTCCACTCTTCCTTGGCATTTTGAATTAAGTTCTCTATCCGTCTCTGATATCTCCACCCTGTCCCCTGTAGGCTCATAACATCTAATTGCAAATTTTTTGAACCTGGTCCCATTTGGGAAATGCTGGCTCCCATCATTGGCATGGGCTGACGAATGAAGGGGCCCTTTTGGACTTACCAGACGCAGAGACCCCCGCCCCCAGCCACTCAGAGGGACAGGGAGGGACTGGAAGGCAGGCGAGGCCCGAGAGCCCCCATCTCCAGCCATGGTGGACAATCTTCGGAGATGACCTACCCTACCCGGAGCTGAGAGGTCACTAGGCTGAGGGACAGCAGGAAAACCAGGGCTGGGCGCAGTGGCTCACACCTGTCATCCCAGCACTTTGGGAGGCCAAGGGAGGCAGACTGAAGTCAATAGATCAAGACCAGCCTGGCCAACATGGTGAAACCCCATGTACTTAAAATACACAATACCACTGTGGTAGCAGGCGCCTGTAATCCCAGCTACTCAGGAGACTGAGGCAGGAGAATCGCTTGAACCCAGGAGGCAGAGGTTGCTGTGAGCTGAGATCACACCACTGTACTCCAGCCTGGGCAAAAGAGTGAGACTCCATCTCAAAAAAAAAAAAAAAGCCAGGACCCCCAAGGGAAGAAGCCAGAAGCCAGGAACTAGTGAGATTCTCAGGAGCGTGTGGGGAAGACCCGGGAACATCGGAGCTGACTGGTGCTTCAGCCTGAGGGGCAGCGCCTCATTCGTTCAACAGACCTCTGTCCCCACCATCTGACAGTGCCAAGTGTGTGGCTATGGAGTGGGCATCCAGAGATCAAAGGCTCCTTGCCTGCCTTAAGGGACTTGCAGTCCTAAGGCTTAGTGACAAGAGAGAAGGCAATGAGGTGGTATGGGTTAGGCCCTGCAGCCTGATGTGAGAGAAAGAACACAGGATTAGGAGTCAGCTGGACCGAGGTGTGGGTCGCAGCCCTGCCACGCACAAGCTAAGTGGCGTGGGCAGGGAGCTCAGCCTCACCTTCCTCATCTGGGAAATGGGGATAAATTCTGCATGGCAGTTGAATGAGTGAATGGCCATTATAAGTGTCCAGCTCAGGGCCAGGACTGTGGTGTGTGTCCAGCAGGCACTTCTCTCCAAACCTGTCTTTCTGAGCCCCTGGGAATGCATCTTGCTGCAGGCAGGAGAGAAGCAGGGAGGCAGGATGAGGGAAGCCCTGGGGCCCGAGGTACTCACTTGGCACGCAGGGCCAGCTGCCGATCGTTGGGGCAGACCCATTGGTCATTCCCACTGCTGAAGATGGTGTCAGCCATGCTCAGGGCACCCAGCGGGGGGGTGGGGAGTCACATCTGGGATGAGGAGAGGGAAAAGAAAGAGTGAGCATCACTGGCTGGGGTACGGACGGCAGACAGGATCCCTGCAAACCCAGGCACGAGATGCTTGGCCCTTCTACCCGCTCCACACACTCTCCCACCAATGCCTGGACTCTCACTGTGAGAATCATCTCTCGGGCAAACCACTGTTCCCTCAAGCCTCCTTTTCAGAAATCTCGTGGTTCTGGGAAGGGTGACCAGGTGGATCCTGTGGCTGAATGACCAGAGTGAATGTGACTGGCAGGACACCAAAGCATCAGCATCAGAGATGAGAGAACAGACACATCCTTAGTAGTTTTCAACTCAGCTGGCCACCCCTGGAGGCCCCCTCCTCCCTGCCCCTCCCAGTACAGCAGGGGCCACACCAAGCACATCACCCAGCAGGAGGGCTACCTGGGAAGCCCTACCCCACTCCCAAACCTGGGGACCCGGTGCTCCTTCCCAAAGGTCCACACTGACAATCACAAAGCTCTCTAGGGCAGGGAAGATACTAGGTGTTGGCAGCTGCAGCCACAATCACCAGCCAGCACCGTGCCAAGTGGTGCTGTCCACAGACACTGTCATGAGCATGGCAGCCTGAAGACCCCATAGGGAGGCAACCCTGCCCCAGAACCCGACAGCTTCCCCCATGTACCGCCTGGCACAGCTGCTTTCTCCTCGCCTCCAAGGCAGGATCTCCTTTGGTTCTCTGCTCTGAGGACACCACACATGCATTCCAGAGGGAGTGTGCAATGGGGCTGGGGTATCTCAATGCCAGGGCAAGGATGAGGGGCTCTCCTGAGTCATCCACACTCCCCGGGTCTAATCCCAGCTAGACCAGTGCTTCTCAAACTCAGGACCCCTTTACACTCTTAAAAAGTATCCAGGTTCAAAATCCATTTGACACTTCCTCAAAATGTTGAACACAGACTTGTCATATAACCCAGAAACTCTACTCCTAATCACATACACAAGAGTACCGAAAACACATGTCCTCACCAAAACCTGGACACAGATGTTCTTAACAGCATGATTCATAACAGCCAAAAAGCAGAAACAACCAAAATACCCATCAACTGATGAATGAGAAGAATGTGCCGTATCCATACAATGGAATATGAACTGGCCATAAAAAGGAATGAAGTGCTCATATCAGCTGAAACTGGATGAGCTTTAAAACATGCTAAGAAAAGCCAGTCACAAAAGACCATGAACTGTGTGAATCCATTTATATATGACAGGTCCAGAATCACAAATCTAGAGGCAGAAAGTGATAAGTGGTTGTTGGATTGCCGGAAGAGGGAAAGAGAATGCCCACGGGCTCAGGACTTCTTTTTGGGCTGATAAAATGTCCTGGCATTAGACAGTGGTGATTACACAATTCTGTGAATATACAAAAACCACTCAACTGTACCCTTTTAAAGTGTGAATGTTATGGTCTATGAATTACAACTTCAGCATGAATACAGACCATGAAAATAAAAATGAATTACAACTCATTCATAGCCCAGACATGGTGGCTCATACCTATAATCAATCCCAGCATCTTGGGAGGCCAAAGTAGGCAGATTACTTGAGCCCAGGAGTTTGAGACCAGCCTGGGCAAGATGGTGAAACGCTGTCTCAACAAAAAGAACAAAAATTAGCTGGGTGTGGTTCATGCCTGTGGTGCCAGCTACTCCAGAAGCTGAGGCAGGAGATGGTCTAAGCCCAGGAGGTCAAGGCTGCAGTGAGCCACAATTTCGCCACTATAATCCAGCCTAGGTGACAGAGCAAGACTCTATCTCAAAACAACAACAACAACAAAATGCTATAAAAAATTGGCCGGGCATGGTGGCTCCAGCCTGTAATCCCAGCACTTTGGGAGGCCGAGGTGGGTGGATCACAAGGTCAAGAGATCGAGACCATCCTGGTCAACAAGGTGAAACCCCGTCTCTACTAAAAATACAAAAATTAGCTGGGCGTGGTGGTGCGCGCCTGTAGTCCCAGCTACTCGGGAGGCTGAGGCAGGAGAATTGCTTGAACCCAGAAGGTGGAGGCTGTGGTGAGCCAAGATCGTGCCATTGCACTACAGTCTGGGTAACAACAGCGAAACTCCGACTCGAAAACAAAAAAAAATTACTGAGGCCAGACACAGTGGCTCAGGCCTATAATCCCAGCATTTTGGGAGGCCAAGGTGGGAGGATTGCTTGGGGTCAGGAGTTCAAGACCAGCCTGACCAATGTGGTCAAACTCTGCCTCTATTAAAAATAGAAAAGAACCAGCTGGGCAGGGTGCTGGGCGCCTGTAATCCCAGTTGCTCAGGAGGCTGAGGCAGGAGAATCACTTGAACCTGGGAGGCGAAGGCTGCAGTGAGCCGAGATGGAAGCACTGCACTCCAGCCTGGGCAACAACAGCTAGACTCAGTCCAAAAAAAAAGATTCTTGAGGACTCCAAAATACGTGGGCTATGACCATTGATAGTCATCATACTGAAATTAAAACTGAGAAAATCTTTAAAATTTTGTTAATTCACTAAAAATGATACACCCATTAGAAGATCACATAATTTACAGCTTATGAAAAAACTACACTTAAAAACAATTAGACAAATGACATTGTTTTACATTTTTACAACTCTTTTTAATGTTTGGCTTCACAATAGAACGGCTGGATATTCACATGTGACTTTGCATTCCAGTGTTTGCGATGGGTTGTTCGTTGAAGCAATCCAGGATATCCAGACCCTCACAAACATGTATGATGGCTGAGGAAAGGAGGCCTTTTTTTTACTTTCCAGGAAATTGTAAATATTTTTCTTTGATATTGTACCAAAACTCTATAGATATTAATTTCTTAAACATTAGTTCCAGCATGGCATCTGAAACCACATCAATGAACTTCTCCTTTTATTTGTGAGAGGATGAAACAAGAGTCCTATTCTTCTTCTTATGAAAACACTTTTGACCCTGTGGTCTCTGGAGGGGCATTGAGGCCAGCTTTGAGAACCGCCTTTCTAGGCCAGTGTTAGCCGTTTCCAACACAACCAGCAGGCACAGTGGGCAGACCGCCAGTACCTGGCCATAAGGGGACTCAGGCCACCACCTCTACCACACGGTCCCTCCACCCACCTGCTCTTCCAGATTAGACCCGACACTCCCCAGGGGGCTGCCTCGGGGATGGGACCCTGGCAGCCCCAGGCCCCAAATAGCCAAGTGTGTAAACCCCACGGCCAGGCCCAGACCTGGGGAGGCCTGAGGTGTCCAATCACCAGGACCTCCTCAGAGGCAGGCTCAATCTCCTCCTGAATGAGGCTGATGGGCGAGCAAGGAAAGACAAGGTCAGGCATGGCACACTCCTCAAACAACTTTAAGCAGGCCTCTCTCAGCCTTTCAGTGCACAATGCTTTGCTTTGCTTTGTTTTTTTAAATCTTCAGTTATCTTGTGCATAGCAGTCACACCATTCCATATGGGTGTGAAAAGCATTATTCTGTTCAAAATAAACATTTAAAATATACTACAGGCCAAACGTGGTGGCTCATGCCTGTAATCCCAACACTTTGGGAGGCTGAGGTGGGTGCGTCACTTGAGCTCAGGAGTTTGAGACCAGCCTGGGCAACATGGTGAATCCCCGTCTCCACTAAAAATACAAAAATTATCTGGGTGTGGTTGTGCATGCCTGTAGTCCCAGCTACGTGGGAGGCTGAGGCAGGAGAATTGCTTGAACCCAGGAGGTGGAAGCTGCAGTGAGCCAAGATAATGCTGCTGCACTCCAGCCTAGCGACAGACTGAGACTCCAAATCAAAACAACAACAAAAAAAGATCTGTGAAAATTTAGCTCCTCCGTAAACTTACTAACAGTCCAAGAACAAGCCAACTGTCTCCTGGGCCTCAGGTTCCTCACTGGCACCCCACAGAGCTGTCAGACAGGTTGGATCGACTGCCTCGTGCAATTCCATAGCCTGGTTCTGACTCTGCTGAGTTATGTGAGGACAGGGAGGCTGCCGGCTGCTCTCACATGGGAGGCGGAAACTGAACCCCTCCCAGCCCAGTCCACAGGACAGACAGGAAGAGGCCACAGGAACTGCGTCCCCCATGTCCCCGCCTTTCTCACTGCTGTAGCTTCAGGACAGAGGTACCACAGAGCCACGAGCTGCAGAGAGGTCAAGGGAGGTGGAAGGGTGTCGCCTCCGGGGCAGGGGCCGTGGGCAATGGCAGGGCAGGTTCATCACGAATGGCAAGTTTGTAGCTAACCTGAGCAAAGGTCAGAGATGAGAACCTGGATGATTCAAGCCCCGGCTCTGGGACGGCCATGATAACCTCACCCTGGCCGTGGCTGGCACCCCAGAAGGCACAGCTGTCCTTCACTCGCACAGAGCAACTCGGGACTGAGGGTGGAGAGGAAGGGAGACTCGAGAGGCATGTTTTAGGAACATGCGGTTCTCCAAAACTCTTCAGCCTGACTGGCTACCAGCTCCCCGACTCGGCAGCAGGGAGGGCCTCCCCAGCTGACCCCCTGGCCCGGCACCCCCTTTACCCATGGGTAAAATGTGCTCCCACCACCCAGCACTCACCTGGGCTCAGAGGGCAGGGAGTCTGGCCCATTCTCTCTTAAGAGCAGAGTCCTGAAAACCCCAAAGAGCAGCGCCACGTGCTGAAAACAGACTGCGCCCTTGTGCTCCTATGTGGCCACTTGTCCCGGGAAAAAATCAGACTGATGAGGGAACACAATAGGACCTTACAGAAGGTGAGAGGAACAGCAGGGTAGCAAACCCCCAAATTCAGGAGGGGAGGATGGAGTTGGCCTGCAGGGAGCAGAGGCAGGAGGTTGTGCGGACAGGGCTGGTGGAGCCCCAGCCACTTCCTCAGTAAACTAGAGAAGTGATCCCCAGGGCCATGTCTGTCTCTGAGGTTCTCCAGCTGGGACAGGTAAGAGGTTAGAGAAGGGTTGTGTATGTGTGTGTGTGTGTGTGTATACATGTGGGCGTGACAGGTAAGCAGCTGAAGGGGGTTGTCTGT